GTTTTAAAGTGAATTTAAATGGAATAAAGGTCCAAACGACGATCATTCTCAGGTTTGCCAATAGGGTTGGTGTTTCACAGTTATGATTTATGTACCTCATTCTACACCTTGCCGATATTACCCACAAGTGACTCTACAAAATAAAAAACCTTTATTTCAATAATATGAGATCTTAAAAGTATCTAAGAGTTTTGGGTTGCCTCACAAATAGTTCCTTAGTTAATGTCGTGGCACGACGTTAGATGATGTGTATACTCAACTCTGCGGGTATGCCTCCTATTACCAGGCAATTTCTCGTATAAATTTTGATGAAGCTCGGTTCACACTTATGCCATTTAGGATTTTAATGATTGAATGAGCATAATTTGAGAGGTTGTGAATTAATTAAAAACAAAGGAATTCTCCCTGAGCTCTTCTAGTATCCTGAGGTTCTCATTTGACTTCTGCAGTAGAAGTGTGAGCATCTCCTTGAACTGTCCATCACCCTTGTCCTTAATTATCCTTTGCTTATGCAGAGGGATGTAGTTATGTTTCTAAGGGTGCTGTATTTCAAATTCCTTAATTTTTTTTTGCCAGCGAATCAAACTAATTTAGTAGGATCACTTCATGGAAATCTTTCTTCATCGTCTTGGGATCTGGAATAGCCTTACTGTCAGGGAATTTGTTTGCTACTTCTTAGGGATGCCCTATCATATTACTCAAGGTAATTTAATCCCCAAACGTTCTGTTTCCTAGACTTAAACTTCCATAAAAAGATACTAGAATAGCTCTGTCAGGGTTTTCGTGGGTTGTGAAGGTCCACCGGAGTGTTGTGAACCTTACCCGGGTTTCATGCAATTATTCACCTTTTAGTTACTTGAACATCATAATCTTGTCTCGAAACATCGTTACATTAGAAGTATGCCATTCCAACTTCTCATAGGCACAACGCAACATGCTTAACTGAATAATTGAACACACATATTAACATAACTAAATGTAAAGTTAGTAAAACGTACACTGTAAAGAACTAAAAGACAAAGAAAACTACATTTCAAGTGACACTACTCCCTGGCATCGGCACACGCTGCCACAATTTTGATGATTCTTCTGTGATCGTGATCAATGACAGTAGCCTAATGTCTGAGTGTCTACGAATAGAATCGAAGGGTTTAGGCTATTTCCCAAGGGAGAGGTAGTAAATATTTTAGCTAAACTAGAATTTCCATTCGAGTTAGTAATAGTTTGAGAAATTATTGAATAAAAATAGAGTAAATTAAATTTGTGACCGCAATATATGTATAATAAAGGGGAATCAAGTTTAGGGATATTTTCTTGCGGTGTGAGCGCAATATATGTTGATGTAAACCATTTGGTACATGCTTTCGATAGGAAATTTGCTAGATAATGATGACTAGGGTAAGCTTTTGGTGAAAGTATATTCCCTCTTTGGGAACTTACCTCATATCAAATAAGATTCTCTTGGACACCCACTCGTCTAATGAATACCAACCTACGTCTTACCCACACCCATTCTTTCGATGATGAGTGCTTCGATACACGACTAGGATATACTCTCTCGGGATGAAATTCATGTCACCCCACTCCTTAAGCCATATGTCTAGATATCTAGGTTTCCTGGCGTCTCTCTCTCTAGCAAATCACACCCTAAGAATAGGGGTTTTTAGCCACACATCAATCAACAACCAAATACACGTAAAATGATAAATATATCAAATGGGTATAAGAAAATAAACATTACTATGATTAAATGAAAATGCAAAATACCCACTTCCCATTTGAGGAAGAAAAGCTCCTTTCTTCAAGTCTCCCACAAAAAACCTCTCGATACTTTAGAGAAAAATACCAACACTAAAGTTCTAAAAGTGAAAAGTAATAATAACGTTTGGAACCTTAAAAATATCATCTACAACTAGTATTTATACCTTTCAAATTAAGTGCTGCGAAACTACTTGGTGAAGTGCCGGCAACTCCTTTCATCACTTTTTTTAATCTAGTTCCTTCATGGCTTCGCTTGCTAAACAAATGGTGAAATACATCCTTTACAACTGATCACCAATTATATAATTGGTGATCTTCAAGAATCAAGTTCATCTCTTTTCATCCTTTTTATTATCGTTTTACGCCTAAGAGTCCATACTTATAATAAAATTTCAAATGCCTGAAGCTAAGAGTTTTCATTATATATTGAGATAGAATGCGCATATGAGGACACTATTTTCATTAAAATAAGACAAAAAATGAGTCTAATCAATGGAATCATCACTAACTTTGAAGATATGAGCTGGCTTAATGAGTTTCCAAAAGATTCGATCAGAACATAGGAAGCACCGAAGAGGGCATGCAGAGCTTTTTACAGAGGCAAAAGAGCTAAAACTGAAAGTTGAAATAGGTTCTCAAAAGAAACTACCATGTGAAGAGACGTATGTGTAACACCCCATAAATTCTATGACCTATATTAGAGCCTCATGTTGAATAATCACGTTTTAGATCTAAAACCAAAGTCACAAACTTAATTAGGATGTGATAGAGTTATGACGTCAAGGGACGACCAAGACGTCCTAAAACTAATGAAATTGAGTTAGCGTGATTTGGTATGTTTCAAGGGGTTCAAAAGAGTCATATTGAAGTTAAAATTAATTAAGATGTTGGGGACACATGTTAGAGTGTGTTTCGGGTCAAAACGTCTGAGTACGCTCCCCAAGGACCACCCTAAGGTTCCTTGAGGAGGACCCATTCGTTGACCAACAAAACTCCCTTTTGATAGTGTGCAACTATGAGATCAAATGATGACCCTTTGTTTGAGCGACACTCCGTTATTTTGGCTCAATGGTTAAAACTTTTCAAATCCTCAAGAAGCCTGCAAACACCCTTTTTGACCAAGACCACAGACCACCAGTATGGTCTGTGGTCTAGTAGACAAAGATTCATCGATTTGGGTCTTTCTTCACTATCCAATTTCGTTCAAGAAGTGGCTAGGTAGTAAATAAGTTTATTAATTAGTCCAGGATTAAGAGGTGGTTAATTAAGTTAGTTAGGGACTTTATAAATGTTCCAACTCATTAAACTAACCCAACTCTTCTAAATTCCCAAAACCCATTTAGCTCCTACTTCTCTCGATTTTCTCTCTTCCAAACTCAAACCTCTATTGATGGAACATAAGATCTTCAAGAAGGAGACAAATTCACGAAGGAATCCAACTGAAATTCATGGACAATAATCCCTAATGTATGGTTTCTTTCACAATTAGGATTCCTTTCCTCAAAAGGTCCCTCCAAAAGAGGAATTTATAAATCCCCAGGACTAGGGTTTCAATCTATACATAGATCCTCTTTTAAAAACGAAATTGTTATTCAATTGTGATTAATTATAATCTTTTATTTTTTTACTATAGAATTATGGCTAATTTGTGATAATCATTTGAGATTTCCCCTTGGACCCTTGTTCTTCCCTAAACTTATTATAGCCTGAAAGTTCGATGTAATTGTGGAAGATGATGAGTGTATATTATGTAGAATGGTAATTGCTATGTATTCCTTCTTGAATTTACCTTGTTTTATGTATTGACTATGTATTCTTTGTAATGGAAGTATGAAGGCCATGAAAGGGCAAGGAGGTATAGTGGTGGAATCTTCTTGAATTCAATAATGAAAGATGATGTTGCTTAGATAGTAATACTTCTATGTCTATTGTGTGTGGTTTTTTGATGATAATAAGTCTTCCTCATCCTTAAACCTAGACATATAAATTAAACATGAAAAATGTATTGCATGTTCTGATAAGATTATTAGTTCATTGATAGTGGTTTCATGATTATAATAAAGTTCCAAGTTGAAGGTTTACTCATTTAAGTATTGTTTTTTAAAGTGAAAGGGATGTCTTCACTTATGATGACCTATAAGATATTATGTTGAAATGTTTTCAGAAGACCCTAGTAAAGGTTAGTGCGAACTTATGAAATAACTAGAGATTGTTACAAGAAGGGAATATATGCTTAGCATTCAAAGAGCATGTAAATGAGATGGAGGTCTCACGTTTTGTATGTTCGGCCTCCCATATGGGTTTCCTCATGTTTAGTAAGTCCCTATTCCCAAGTTATGTGTTGTATCGTGAGATGCAAACCCTCATGTTATTATGTTAGGGTTCCTAACACTAATATCGTTGACCCTTAACTATGTGCCCACATAAAACTATAGCTTAGTGGATCCGCCTAGATAGCTATGTATGAATGGTTACACCTTAGGCAAGTGTTAACCCTCTATTTTTGGTGTGAAAGTAGAACACTGGATTCCATGTAGCTCACTTGGTCTAATGTGAATTATTGCACTTCTTTCCCAAATGTAAAAGTAAATGAACAAGATAAGTGTTTGAACTCTTAATAAAGATTTACTTTAAGGCTTTTGCGTAGTGTGAGGGAGGTATGTGACTTCTCTTTGACATTGCACTTGTGCGGTCATTAGGGATGGTTCTAGTAGTGTTCTTTATGATTTAGTTGATTATATTTTATACATGTCACACTATATTTGTGATGTTTATGGATAAAGCATGTCATGATTAATGATTAATTTATGTGGTATGTATTAAGTGGGTGATCTAATGTGATACTTAGCTTGGGATAGGGTTATGTGATTCTATTCTTGCCATTGCACAAGTACTGCTTAGGTTATCTACATGTCGGGTTGATATTATGTGGAATTGACTTGCTGTGCTTACTAGTGGTTCATGTTGAGATAAATTGATAAAAAGCATGATTTTGACTAAAATGTCCCTAAACTCATGTATTGATGATTTTTGTGAATAAATGTAACATCCGGGGAGGACCCCCTAGACGTAACCGACGTCATCGTCCTCGTAGATGACTAAAATTAGCCTTTTATTGTTCATCATTACATTCATAGGTTAAAGTGAAAAAATTAAAACTTGTAATCTACCTCTACATCATGTGGTTTACATAGACATCTCGCTTACACATCATATATACATAGGGAGTTTATTTAGACTCCTGAAATAAGAACCTTACATAGGCTTCTACTTTAATGCTACATATACAATATACACAATATAGTCTTTATAGGAATATCTAATTTAAAACCATCTAAATGGATTATAACAATTCGGGCATAACCCTTACACAAATATATGGTTTCCACTTAGGGCTTACAACAATGTCTTGAACAATAAAAGTGAAATGAATGACCTTGGACAATAACACGTAACATAAGTAGAATTAGAAAAGGCATCATCTCGCATCTTGAGGACATTCCGACATTTGGAGAAATGATCAATGTCTACGTTGCAAATTGGCCACGAACCCTTCAATGACGGAACCTAAAATGTTGGGGGAAAATTGAGAAATATAGGTTAGTACACCACTTGTGCTATGTATGGAAACCCATGCACACATAAGCTTCGAAATTACGATAAAGGGAAAATTTGTTACAAAGCATGCTAAGTTACTTTGAAAAGCCTTATACACAACCAAGAACCCATAGAAGACAATCATCTTATAATCCTAAAGTCCAAACCATGTACAACACTAGACCAACAACTTCAAGTATAGTCAAGTCAACATGTATAATACCATATTCAAGTACATAACCAAAACAACTCCAACATCATGTTATAACAACAGAGCATATATAAGAGTTCATAACATTACAAAATGTGCATCACCCTTACTCATAACCCACCATTAAGCCTACAACTGAAATGACAAAGAAATATCCCATAACCTTACTCAACTAAGTAAACCAAAAAAAGGATCACAAGTAATGCATAACTTAAGATAACATAGCATCAATAGTAGTCATCAACATAATTAATAATATTAGACCAATATCATGTTAAAGTGAAACTAACATCAAATACTATCATCAACATTTAAATTCAACATATCCACAACATTTTCTTTATAGGACCATAAGAACATAAAACCTTCTAGGAGTTCCCTCAAGGTCAACTAGTGCAATATATAGGTAAATTCCCACACCACTACCTAGACTCTGTAAAAAACCTTAAGTCACCCTACTAGTTGTTCACATTATTACTTCATTTAAATTTCGGGAACACTTCCTTTAACAAACATAGACCATAAAAACTAAATATGGAATCCGGTGTCATTAAAATCGTACACCAAAAGAAGGTTATCTACTTTTCGAAGTAGTACCAAGCATGAACATTGCATTTAGGTGGATCCACTAGCTAGTATTCCTATGGAGGCAACATAATTCAATAACTAGGAGGCATGTTTGAGACCCTTATACTCCACGGGAATCGTAACTTGTTTCCCATGTGTACAGTAGATAACATAACATCCCTACTTGGAAAGGGACACTCCTCATTACTAATTCACTCGGTGCTAAGCTAGAGTCCCCTTTGAACTGTCTTGCTTTAACAATCATAACTTAGTTTAGGTCATAGGAAACTAACCCCTTGTATAGTCATAGTCATTATCTCAATAGGAATTTCATGAGAATGCCTTTTCAATAGAACCCTCATATGTGAGATTTGCACTTTAACATCATCATATCATAATAAGGAACATACACAATTCATAACCAACCTTATATTTACATCTTAGTCATAATCTCACCAATAAAATAATCAAGACATTAAAATTTCATCATCATACAAACCCTATTTAATTTAATTACAAGATACAACTTAATTGAACTTCATGACCAAGTACAAGTCATCATAATCGAAGTAAAGGTTTGATATCACAAAGACTTACCCAATCTCCTTCACAAGCCATCATCTATGGTTTTACTGTAAACAATCCAATTATACAAAAAAATATGTGTAATATCATCATAAAATAGTTTAGAACACAATCTATAGGTCAATTTTATCAATCCTAATCAATCTAACATGAGTTCATAATCTATGGTTAGGGAACTGGATCAAATTCATCGTCTCTACCACATACAAGGTATAATCATCAAGAACTAAATCAATAAACCAAATATATATCATAATATAATCATAATAACCAGTATAAATCAACAACAATACAATGGAAAAGATCAATCTCGGATAAGGAAGAAACCCATATGAAAATCATCTTTTTTGAAACCAATTTTGGAAAGAACCCTTTGGGGAAAGGAATCCCACATGTGAAAGGTTCCTATACCTTGATATTTCTTAAATATTGATGGAGTAAAGTAGTGTATTTCAATCCATACTTCCCTTCACCTTTGCCTCCTATCGAGTTATTCTTTAGGAGAGAGAAAATCTAGAGAGAAGGAAGAGTAATTTGAGTTTGGGAATTGGGAGGTGCTAGTTTGGTTTAGGCTTAGGGTATTTTATATAGTCACTTAAGTAAACTACTTAACCACCCTTTAATACATAATTAAAACCCTAACTAAGTAACTAGTTAAATGAAGTCACTAAAAATCCAATAGAAAAAATTATAGGCTTGACATACGAGACCCCGACCTATGTTTCTTAGGTCAGTCGACGGCCACTGCTCGCCACTGTCCCGCACATCCGTAGTTTGGGTAAGAAGTATGCATTTTAGACAATTTTTTTTTGAAAATGGATAAGTTTTTGTTGACAGAGGCATCGATGCCCCGTCACCTAGGCAACGCCTCGTCGTTTGGCAAGCGTAGGTGTTGCTATCTTTTAATAGCTTTTTGGTCATTTGGAAGGGTCCATTCCAAAGACCCTTAGGGTGGTCCTTGGGGAGTCGTACCCGGACGTTTTGACCTTAAACATATTCACATACATGTTTGACACCTTTTTACAAAATTTCATTAATTTTTGACTCTTCAACCTAACAAAGTAGGATAAGGTACAAGAACACCTCTTTCACACATCTCCGTACGTCATGGATGTTCCTTGACATCTTGACTCTAAAACATCCTAAATGGATAATAACATTGTTGTAGATCTTATTAAGTGTGTAAAATCTTAGATAATCATGTGAGGATGTAGATTAGGTCTTGAACATTCAAAGTGTTGCATTATCCCTTCTTAGGAACATTCATCCGCGAATGACACTAAAATCTTTTTGAAGGAAAGGATAGACTCAATACTAGCAGCCCAACCAACAATAACATAATCAATAAAAGCTACAACACAAAGGAGTGATTCACCACTCCATTCCACATATAATCATGCATTTACACAAGTTACTCAAAAACTTCAAGCACCACCCATAAGAGCTAAAAAAATACAACATGAGGAAGTAACTTCTCAATGAGCACATGAGCTCAACATATCATTAAAGAGTTAATTATGACAAAACTCCTTTCACAATATATCAATATGATCAATATAACCTCATAACGGTAACAATATACCAATTACACAATTAAGTACTAATAAAGTCAAAGAGCACTGTTCTATGAAACTTCATTTTAGCAAAACCTTTACCAGAAATACCCATATATTTACAAAACAAGTCAAATACAAATTAACTTATTATTTTGATTATTAATAGGATAAAATAACCTTAATTAGAAAAGAGATGAGGATAATGAGATTTCATGTCGACCTCGGACTCCCATGTTGCTCCATCAACTAGGAGGTTCTTCCATAAAACCTTTACAGAGATCGAGTCTTTGTTTCTCAATTTCTTCACTTACCGTTCAAGGATTTTCACCAGAACCTCTTTATAGGAGAGGTTCTCATCCACACAAATACTGTCAATAGGAAGATTAGACTCAGGGTCACTAATGCAAGCATGGAGACATGGAATACTTGGTGAACCAACGCTAGCTCATTAGGAAATCTTAACTCATATGGAAACTTGCCAACCCTTTGAAAATTTTCATAGTTACATACATATCGAGGAATAAGGTTATATTTCTTTACAAACCTCATCACCCTTTTCATGTGTGAAATTTTCCAATACACCTTATCGGCTTCTTGAAATTCAAGGTCTCTTCTCCTATTATCGTCATAAGATTTTTGCTTGCTATAGGAAGCCTTCAACCTATCCCTTATGACACGAACTTTCTGAAAAGTATAATAAATAAATTAGGGATTAAAGAGTGAATACTGACCAATCTCAAACCATCCAACCGTAGATCTATCTCTCCTACTATACAAAGCCTCAAAAGAAGCCATGGATATAGTCGAATGGTAACTATTGATATCAGAGAACTCAACCAAAGACAAATGTTCATCCCAACTTCCCTTGAAGTCAATAACACAAGGTCTAAGCATATCCTCAAGTGTTTGAATAGTTTTCTCCGCTTGACCATCCATTGGGGGATGAAAAGCGGTGCTTCACTTCGCTTGAGTACCTAACACATTTTGGAAAGACCTCCAAAACCGAAATGTGAATTGATCACGTCCATAAAAAATGATGGATAAAAAGATCCCATTAAGACTCACAACCTCATTTACACATATCCTTGCATACTCTTCTTCCGAAAAAGTAGACTAAACGTTTATAAATTGACCGAATCTCATCAACCTATCAACAACCACCCATATAGATTCATTTGGCCTTCGAGTCCGAGGAAAACCCACTACAAAGTTCATACTAATGTCTTCCCAAATCCAAGAGGGAACTTGCATTTCTTAAAGTAAGCCACCCAAATTTTGGTGCTCAACTTTCACTTGTTTTCAATTTAGACAATTTGTAACAAATTCCGCTATGTCCCTTTTCAATCCATCCCACCAAAATACTTCTCTAAGGTCATCATACATCTTAGTAGAATTCAGATGATTGGAGTAACGAGAACCATGCTCTTTCTCAAGAATCCGGTTTCTCAAATCATCAACATAGGGCACACATAACCTCTCTTGGTACCTCTAAACACCATCCACCCTAAGGAAAATAACTCATTAAGCTTACAAAGAATTGATTCCTTCGACTCCATCAATGACAGATTAAGGTGTTTCTTAGACTTCATTGCAACCATCAAAGATGATTCAACGTTATGACAGACCATAAAACCACAATTAGGATAATATTCCAATAAAACACCCAAACGAGCTAACCTATGAACATATTTTACTAGGTCTTTCTTGGATTCTTCTACATGGCACACACTGCCCATGGTCATACGACTTAGAGAATTCGTAACCACATTAGCCTTGCTGGGGTGGTAGAAAACATTCATGTCGTAATCTTTCAACGATTCCAACCATTTTCGTTGCCTGAGATTCAACTCCTTTTGGGTAAACACATTTTAAAGGCTCTTATGGTTGATATACACATCAACATCGACACCATAAAGATAATGCCCCCTTATTTTAAAGGCAAACACCACAACTACTAACTCAAGATCATTAGTTGGGTAGTTCTTCTCATGAACCTTGAGTTTCCTATATGCATAAGCTATAACCTTACCATGTTTCATAAGGAAACAACTCAAACCAATTCTATAAGCATCACAATATACCACAAAACTGTTGGTACCCTCCAGTAAGGTCAACACAGGAGCGGAGGTAACTCTATCTTTCAAAACATTGAATCTTCTTTCACAAGCCTCCGACCACTAAAATTTCACATTCTTTTGGGTCAAGGTTGTCAAAGAAGAGCAATAGACTCAAAAGCATTCACAAACCTCCTATAGTAACCTGCTATACACAAGAATTTTATTATATCTGCTGGAGACAAAAGTCAAGGCCAATTCTAACCGCTTAAGTCTTTCTCGGATCGACCTCTACACCCTCACTAAAGATGATATGACCAAGAAATGCAACCGAACTCAACAAAATTCACATTTTCTATACTTGGTAGAAAGTTGGTGTTCCTTACGGACTTGCAATACCACCCTCAAATGGTCCATATGATCACCCTCATTCTTCCAATAAACCAAGATATGGTTAATAAAAATAATAAAAAAAGAACATATATAATTTTGAAACACCGTATTCATTATGTCGATAAAATTCGAAAGGGCATTTTTCAACCCAAATGACATAACTGGGAACTCATTGTTACCATACCTAGTACCAAAAGGCGTTTTTGGGGATATCTTCACATCTCACCCTAACTTGGTTATAACCCGACCTAAAATCAATCTTATAAAAGTAACTCGCACATTAGAGATGATCAAATAATTCATCAATCCTAGGGAGATGATATTTTTTCTTTATAGTGACCTTATTGAGTTGTCGGTAATCAATACACATCATAAGGGACCACTCATTTTCTTTGAGTTGAGCCTTCAACTCTTTCAGTACGGCCGGAGCCATTCGATAAGGAGGAATTTAAATGAGGTTCCTATGTGGCAACAAGTCAATACAAAAATCAATTTCGCATTCGGTAGGAATTTTGGGAAGATTATTAGGAAAGACCTTCAGAAATTCCCTCACTATGGGTACTAAATCAATGGGAGGATTTTCAAAGTAGAAATCTTTGACAATTAAAAAATAGTATTAATACCCTTAAGAGATAATCGTAGAAGCCTTTCAACAAGGAATGATACAACTTCTAGGAATAAAATTTCCCCCCTTCCATTCTTAGACGGATTCTTTAGGAAAATTGAACTTAACAACTCTTGGTCTACACCAAGGAAGCAAAAGAATCATGCAACCAATCCATTCCCAAAATGACATTGAAATCAACCATATTATGTTCTACTTATTAAACATGAGTAACTTTATTGGGAAACATTTTAGGACAATTTCTATATACCCTCTTTACAACCACCGAATCACCTACCGGGGTAGTCACCATAAAAGGTTCATAAAGTATATCAGGCAAAATATCAATTTTTCTAGCTACTTACGGAGTAGCAAAAGACAATGTAGCACCCGAATCAAGTAAAGCATAAACATCAATAGACAAGACTTGTAACATACTGATTACCACATCGGAAGACCTCTCTTGTTCACCCCTAGAATGTATAGCATAAAAACCACTATTTCTTGGAGCATCGACATTAGAACCACTTGCTTGAACTTTCACACTTCCACTGTCTTTCCCTTTTTCATTAGGGCAATCCCTAACCCTGTGACCACTTTTTCCACACCCAAAGCAATTGTCTGTCCCAATTAGACATTCACCTATGCGCTTCTTCCCATACTTTCCACAAGTAGGCTTCTTTATTGGTGGACTAGTACCTCTTCCTTTTTGAGACTTAGGGTTAGACACCCTATCCGCACAAGCCTTGCGGAACATAAAAGAAGTAAGATTGGAGAACCTCTTATTGAATCTAGGGTTATCTTGAATCTCCAACCTTCTCTTTGAAGAACCACTCTTATAAGACTTGGCCCTCTTTACCTCTCTATTCTTTCTTCTTAGTCTACTTTCTTCCACTTGTTGAGCATGAACCACTAGACAAGAGATTTTTATATTATCATGAATAATAGCCTAATGAAATTTGTCTAACAAGTCTTAGGAAACTCCAGTAAGAAATGACCCATCTTATCCTTTGGGTTAGACACAAAGGATGGAGCATACATAGAGAACTTAGTAAACCTCAATGAGTAATCAAGTACACTCATACCTCCTTGACGAAGGTTTATGGATTCTTCAACCTTATATTCCCTCAATTCTCTAGGAAAGAACCTATCAAGAAAATCCCTCTTGAATATATCCCAAGTCACCGGACAACCTCTTAGCACTGTATTGTCACTCCATTGTGTGTACCATGTTTGGGCCACATCCTTGAGTTGATAGGTTGCCAACTTGGCCTTTTTATTTGAAATCACACCCATAAAAAAAAAGATCTTGTAGACCTCATGAAGAATGTCTTGGGGTCTTCACCCTCTTTTGACCCAAAGAACATATGAGGGTTCAACCTAGTAAAGTCTCTCAAATGAGAAGACATAGTACTAGCATGTTGAGGATTATGAGGTCCAACTTCCTGTTTGACTTGTGCCATTATATCTTGGACATGTGAAGTTATAGTATTAACATTAGAGGGCATGGCTTGAGCAAAGTTGAGAAAATCTGACCTTATCTCTTCATCCCTCACAGGTGGAGGAACAACCAGAACTCGAGCACCTATAGGAATTTTCTCAAGTGGAGGCACTGGATTGTCTTGCGGAGGAGCTTAATTTTCATGAGCTTCCTTACTAGCAACCCCTTGTTCGGCCCTTCTTGCGGCTTCCCTTATAGTAGTCATACCTATAATATCAATAAAATGTTTAGGTGAAATAATACATAAAGTAAGACTCTAGAGGCACAAGATAGGAATAACAAGAACATGAGAATTTCCTAACCATCATACAGTCTCTCACTTCATAAGTATGGCACACTTCCAATTATAATGAAAATCTACAAAGTTATGGTTTAATGAGACATATATCTTAGGGATATATAAACCCATGCTTTGACACCATTTTTGTCACATCGGTGAGCATCCCCTAGACATAACCGTCATCATTGTCCTCCGAGAGGAGTTAACAAGACTCTTAGCAGTCATCATTACATTTATAGTTAAAAGTGTGGAAAATAAAAAAATTTCATCTACACCTACATCCACATCCTGAGGTTTACTTAGACCTCTCACTTACAAATCGTATATACATAGGGAGTTTACTTGTACTCCTCACATAAAAATCTAATATAGGCTTCTACTTTTATGCCACATATACAATATACACAATATATTATTCATATGGATGTATCAAATGAAACAATCTAAACGGAATATAACAATTCGGGAATAGCCCTTCAACAAATGTATAATTGCCACTTAGGACTTACAACAATATATGGAATAATAAGAGTTAAATGAACATCCTTGGACTATAACAAGTAACATAGGTAGAATGAAAAAAAGGAATCATCCATGAATATTAAGAACATGCCTGTGCTTGGAGAAATGATATATGTATTCCTTGCCAATTGGCCAATAACCCTTCAATGATCGGAAGCTAAAATGACGGGGAAAAACAGAGAAATATGGTTTAGTACACCACTTGTACTAAGTATGGAAACACATGCTCACATAAGCTTAGAAATTATAATAAAGGGAACATTTGTTCAAAAGCATGTTAAGTTACTTTGAAAAGCCTTATGCACGACGAAGAACCCATAAAATCCAATCATCACATAATCCTTAAGTTAAAACAATGTAAAACACAAGACCAACATCATCAAGTATAGTCAAGTCAAAATGTATAATACCATATTCAAGTATATAACCACAAAAACTCCAACATCATGTTATAAAACCAAAGCATGTATAAGAGTTCATAACATTTAAATATGTTTAAGACCCTTACTCATAACCAATCATTAATCCTACAAGTGCAATGACCAAGAAATGTCCAATAACCTCATTCAACCAAGTAAACCAAACAAATTATCACAAGTAATGCCTATCTTAAAATAACATAGCATCACTAGTAGTCATCAACATATTTAGAAATATTAGACCAATATCATGTTCATAAGTGAAACTAACATCATATAGGATCATCAACATGGAAAGTCAACATAGGCATAAGATTTTCTTTATAGGAACATAAGACCAATCTTCTAGGATTTCCCTCAAGGACAACTAGTGCAATGCATAGGTAAAGTAGAGTCCCATACCCCTACCTAGACTAAGTCAAACCCCTTAAATCATCCTTGATAGTATTCACATTATTACTTCATTTTAGTTTTGAGAACACTTGTTTTAACTGACATAGACCACAATAACTAAATGTTAAATCATTGTTATGAAAACATTACACTTAAAGAAGGTGAGTACTATCCAAAGTAGTACCAAGCATGAACATAGACTCTAGGTGGATCCACTAGCTAGTATTCCTATGGAGTCAATATAGTTCGAGAACTAGGATGCATGTTTGAAACCCTCTTCATTCCATGGGCATTGTATTATCTATCTCATGAGTACAATATTGAACCTAACTTCTCTACTTGGGTAGAGACACTCCTCACTACAAATTCACTCGGTGCCAAGTAAAAGTCACTTTTGAAATGTCTTTCTTTAACAATCATAACTTTGTTTAGGTCCTAGGGGATTAACAACTTATATATTCATAATCATTATCTCAATAGGAATTGCATATGAATTCCCTTTCAATACAACCCTCGTATGTAAGATTAACACATTAAAATCATAATATCATAATAAGACACATAGAAAATTCATTGCCAACCTTATATCATTATATCATAGTCATAATCTCACAAGACACATAATAAAGACATTTAAATTGCATCCTCATACCAATTGTACTTAACTAATGACAAGATACAGTTCAATTGACCTTCATCACCAAGTACAAATCATCATAATTGAAGTAAAGGTTTTTGAGTACAAAGACTTACTCAATCTCGTTTAAAAGCCATCACCCATGGTGTTTCCATCAACCATCAAGTTTCAACAAACAATAGGTGTTATATGATCATAAAAGAGTATATAAAACAATCTATAAGTCAATTATATCAATCTTAATGAATCCAACATGAGTTCACAATCTAGGGTTAGAGAATTAGGTCAAATTCATCAAATCTACCACATATTAGGTATAATCATCAAGAAATAACTAGATTAAAAAATAATATATCATAATATAGTTATAATAACCAATATAAATCAAGAACAGCACCATTGAAACATTTTAATATCAGATTAGGAAGAAACCCATATGAAATTCATCTTTCTTAAACCCAATTTAGAAAGAATCCTTTGGGGAAAGGAATACCAAAGGTGAAAGATTCCCATACCTTAATATTTATTGATGTTTGATCAAGGTAAGTGGTGTTCTTGAATACCTATTCACCTTGACCTTCACCTCCTACGGATTTCTTCTTTGGGAGAGAGAGAATGTAAAGAGAAGGAAGAGTAATTTATGCTTGGGAACGGGGAGGTGTTAAGTTGGGTTTAGGCTTAGGGTAGTTTATATAGTCACTTAAATAATCTACTTTAAAGACACTTAATCAATTATTAAGACCCTAACTAACTAACTAATTAAATGAAGTCACTTAAGACCCAATAAAAAAATTGCAGGCCTGACCTATGAAACCCCGACCTATGGTCTGTAGGTTAGTTGACGGACACTGCCCCACACCATCCTGCACATCCATAGTTTGGGTCTGATAGTATGATTTTTTTTCATTTTTGGAAAATTTCTAAGTGTTGTTCGACAGAGGCATCGACACCCCGTCGTTTGGCAAGAGTAGATGTTGCTGTTTTTTGATAGCTTTTTGGTCATTTTGAAGGGTGATCTCCAACGACCCTTAGGGTTGTCCTTGGGGATTCGTACCCAGACGTTTCAACCTCAATAATATTTTAATACATGTTTTAAACCTTCCTTCCAATTTTTGTCGATTTTCGAATCTTAAACCCTGTGAAATAGGCTAAGACACACTAGCACCTCTTTTTTCACATATCTCTGAACGTCATGGATGTTCCTTGACGTCTTGCCTCTATAACTTCCTAAATAGATTATAACCATCATTTTAGGTATTATAAAAAATTTTCAAGTCTGATATACTCATGTGAGGCTCTAGATTAGGTCTTGAAATTTTAGAGTGTTAAAATAGATGTCATACTTTACGTGTGATGTACCAACAGTTTTCCCAAACATTTTAAGTTCGAACGTTGAGGATTTCATGGCCATTGCCAAGGAAGACTTGTATCATTTAACAAGTTTATTGTGCATCCTTAATGTTTCGAAGATGGTGTCACATATCTAACTTTTGTTGTATTGACTATGTGTAAAGAAACTTATTCATTCCTTATGTAGAGACTTTGATGTAATCCTATATATGGAATATTGTACTTGTAAGGTCTATGCCCAAATGTTCTAATTCTATTTAGATGGTTATATGTGAGAAAAAAATTAGACTATGTTGATGATGAATATTCCAAATGAGAAGTCTATGTAAACATTATAAGCGAGGAGTCTATATAAACTCCAGATATGATAAGTGGGAAGTCTAAGTATACTTCACTATGTAAAAGTTTTAATCTTCTACACTTTTTCTCTTCATATGATATGCCATGATGTATTCTAAGGGATAGTCTAAGTCCTCTTCATGTACGAGTATGCCGGTAATGCCTAGGGGTACTTTGAGTCGTTATAAACATGGTATCAAATCATGACGTTTAGTAACAATTTGATGGATGTCTCACCAAACCACATTTATCTAGGGTCTTATTAATATTGTGAAGCGCCACACTTATGAATGAGAGGATATGAGATGCTTTGGAACTTTCACTCTTTTGTTTTTCTTTAGTCATGCCTAAAATTCTTAAATCTATCAAGTCCTTTCTCCTAATCCTTTTATTGTGCTTATAGTTAATGAATACAATGATAACAATGCTCGAAGAGCTGAGGAGGAGTATTTGAATGAGGCAGTTCCCACTCAATCATCTCAAACCATCAAGTTCCTATTGAAGAAGAGACTATGTCTAACGTTGAGATAATGACGACTATTGGTAGCTTGACCAAGTGCAAGAAACTGAAGTTGCTAGGGATACTAGGGTACAAGTGAACCCCAAAGCTAGCACTACCGCTTCAAGGATTAGGGATTTTACAAGGATGAATCCCCCTACATTATTTGGTTCCAATATGGAGAGGACCTACAAGGTTTTATTGATGAAGTTCTTAAAGTTCTTGATGCTATGGGTGTGTCTTCTCAAGAAAAGGCGGAACTAGCCGCCTACCAAGTGAAAGATATGACTCAAGTTTGGTGTGAGCAATGGAAGGATGAGAGGCCGGTTAGAGAAGGCTGGATTACATGGGAATCTTTAAAGATGACTTTCCTTCATAAGTTCTTTTCCTTGTAATTAAGGGAGAGTAATATTTAAGAATTCATCAACTTTCACCAAGGGTATGAGTGTGTATGAGTATATCCTAAAGTTTACTCAACTATCAAAGCATGTTCCTACTATTGTTGAGAATTCTAGGGATCAGATGAACAAATTTTTTATGGGGATATTTGACCTTGTGGGTAATGAATGTAGGTATGCTATGTTGATTCCTAGTCTTGACATCTTTCGCCACATGGTTCATGCATAACAAATTGAGGAGCAAAAGCTTATGCAAGTTGGTAGGGAGTTGAAAAAGATAAGAACTGAAGATGGGAATTCTTCCAAGACTAGAATTGAGGTTCAAGACAAACAGAGGTTCAAGAAAAGGTTTTCCAACCAAGGACCTCTTAAGA